CTGTCTTACTTCCCTCGATACAGCTCCATGGAGGCTTCGTCCCAGTTTGATGACTTCTGCCGTGTTAAGTTGATGGCTCATCCACATCGCTCTCCAGAGGATTTGTACACAGTGGGCGGCCACCGGTTCGATTCCGTCGCGGCTGCGTACAAGTGTTGCAGAGAGCACCATGACACTCATTCTGACGATCATTATGGGGAACCAGATACAAACGAATTGAGGGCGGAGGACGATGAATTCGAACTTGAGGTCCGTGAAGAGCCCGTTGTGGACGAGGACTGGCATGAACTCGCCCGCATGCTGCCCGACCGCCCGCTGGAGGAAGTGGATATCAACATGCTCGGCCGCCGAGACATCGACGTCGATTATGATTGGACCCCTCACGTCGGACGGTATACCGATGATGGTATTCTCAACGGCGACTACTGGAAGCAACGCAAAGCGGCAAACCGCCGTAACCTTGATGTGGATCATCAGCCCCGGAGGCCCGCGATTCTCTAAATCGAGATCAGCGCCTAGTGTACGACACGGTGATAGACCACTTTCTGACCCAGGAATCATCTCAGCTATTGCTTCATGTAGACGGTGGAGGTGGTACCGGGAAGTCATACCTCATTAATCTGCTCTCCGCGCACCTTCAAGCCGCTGCCGCCGGGAGAGGGACACCCGTTTGGCGTGCCGCGCCAACGGGCGTCGCGTCTCTGCGCCCCCCTAAGCGGCTGCCGCCAGGAGGGGGACACCGGTTTGGCGTGCCGCGCCGACAGGCGTCGCGGGAAACCAGATATCGGGCACTACCTTGCATTCCCTGTTACACCTCCCAATCAGTAAGGACTTCAAGCCTCTCTCAGCCGTTGACAAGACCCAGCTCCAGAAGAAGCTGAAGGATATCAAGTACTTGATTATCGACGAGAAGAGCATGTTAGGACTGCGTCAGCTATCATGGATCGATGACCGTCTCCGCGAGGCCTTCCCGAACAAGAATGAGGAGTTCTTCGGTGGTCTCAACATCCTTCTGGTTGGCGACTTCTTCCAGCTTCCACCCGTGCTACAGAAGCCGCTCTATTACGATAAAGAGGTGCAGGGAGCAGAGATCAAAGGCAGGAATGTGTATAGACGCTTCGATAAATCGGTCTTCTTGAAGGTTGTCCAACGGCAACGGGGCGACGATCAGAAGGCGTTTCGCACAGCTCTCGGGGAATTGCGGCTCCTCCAACTATCGGTCGAGTCTTGGAAACTCCTTTCAACCCGAGTACAGGCAAAACTAGATGATCAAGAGGTCGCGAGGTCCGCCAACGCCTCACGAGTATACGCGACTGAAGATAGGGTGAACGAATATAACCACTACCACCTCGACTGCCTCGGCCGGCCAGTTATCCAGGTCAAGGCTAAGAATGTTGGCTCCGGCGCGGCTGCTGCTCCTGACAACAAGGCGGGTAACCTTGCGGGGCTGCTGCTCCTGACGACAAGGCAGGCAATCCTTGCGGAGCAGATCCCCATATGCATTGGTGCCCGTCTGATGCTGACGTCCAACCTTTGGCAGCCGGTTGGCCTCTGCAACGGCGCCCGTGGTACCGTTTCCGACATCGGCTGGGCACCTGGGACTGACCCCATCCAAGACCCTCCCTGTGTTATCATGATGGAGTTTGACAAGTACAGCGGGCCGGTGTTTGACCACCGCTGATGGCCGGAAGATCCTCCCGATTCTCCCAGTAGAGAGGGACTTGCTCAACGGAGCCACTCGTTGCACTGTCACTCAATTTCCCCAGATTCTATTACCGTTCACAAGTCGCAAAGCATCACTGAGGATGTAATCATTACGGCGGATCTCTCCTGCCGGGACCTTCAGACCGGCTTAAGTTACGTGGCTGTGTCTCGTGTGAAAACGTTCTAGGGTCTGATGCTGGATACGCCATTTGATTGTAGTCACCTGTTTTATGAGTCTCCTACAGATGGTATGAAGATGAAGCTGAGGGACCAGCAGTACAGGAGACGACACGCTCTTACATGGAATCCCTATAGGACAGACCACGGTTCTGCATAATTCCAGGTGATTCTGCTCGCGACAAGAAGAAAAGTTACAAAATCGCTCCAGCGCTTAGATAATTTCTTGGCTCACAGGCTCCCAGCCTTCGGATGATTCTACCCCTTGCACCACTGCTCCAACATGCAAGGGATGACATAGTATTTTATTTACTACACTGGGAATGGCTTGCCTCATGGATGCTACTAAGACTTTCCCCAGCGATTGCTTGCCCCCCATACAGAATTATCTGTCGCGAGAAGCGTGGATATGCATTCACAATGGATCGGTCGACCGTTGAGAAGAGTGGCAAGTTGACAGTCACTTACACGTGTGACAGAGCATGCCGACGACCCGTGTCATCTCAAAACAAGAAGCGCAAAACTACCAGTCGCGGAACAGGGTGCCAATTTTCTGTTTAGGCAAAGGAGTGGAAAGACAAGAATACTTGGACGCTGCGACATCGCCTGGATGCCAAGTTCTCCGTTCATAATCATGAGCCAAGCCACGATGTATCCGCCTATCCCATACACCGCAGACTATCTGAGGAAGACCAATTGACGCTTGCAAGGCTCTCCAATGTAGGAGTGGCTCCTAGGCATGTCAGGACCTACCTCCGACAATACTGCAACTCTGTTGCAACACAACAGAACGTTTATAACTGCGTTGCAGACACTCGGCGCAGGCTTTGGGAAGGACAGAACACTATCCATGCGCTTGCCAATGAACTAGACAAAGAAGGCTTTTGGAGCCGAATGCAATTCGACGCAGACGGCCGAGTCACCGCCGTCTTGTTTGCTCATCCCCACTCTCTGAAGTACCTCCAAGCTTATCCCCATGTGCTTTTGCTTGATTGCACATATAAGACAAACAAATATGGCATGCCTCTACTTGACATGATTGGAGTTGACGCATGCCAACGATCCTTCTGCATTGCCTTTGCCTTCCTGACTATGCCTGGGCATTGGACCGACTTCGGTCTCTGTACGACCATCATTGTGACAGACGGAAGTCTGTTGTGCTGACTGACCGATGCCTCGCTTGCATGAATGCTGTCCAGACCTCCTTCCCTACATCGGCGTCACTCCTCTGCCTTTGGCATGCCAATAAAGCTGTTCTGCGAAATTGCCTTCCAGCATTTACTAGTCGGGCGCCGAGCATCGCTTCCAAGTCGGGAAGTGATAAGACGACGGAGGCATGGGAGGAGTTCTATGGATTCTGGCACCAGCTTATGAGTTCTCCGAATGAGATTGCATTCAAAGAGCGACTTTCAAAATTTGAGAAGAAGTATTTGTCGGATCACGGTTGGAGTTGGATACGCATCAGCAATCGAAGACCAATAGTTCAACCCCTCGAAGGCAAATATTGGTTGTTTTGGTTTGGCAAGTTTTGAGTTGAGTTAGGCGTATGGCTTGTAAAACCACGAATGGATAATCCACAAACTGTGGGATAGCGAGGCATTTGAGACGAGGGGAAGCTGCCCAGTTACCCTCGCTGGTTTGGCTCCATACGAGCTCCTCGGAAAGCTTTTGGCCGCATTCGTCTTCACCTACGA